GTCACTCACCCACCCGTCCATCCATCATCACTCACCCATCCGTCCATCCACCAATCTACCCACCCACTCAGCTGCCCACCCGGCCATCTGTCCAGCACACTCGTCCAGGTGCTGGGCACTTGCTCTGTGCCAGGTCCGGGAAGGTCACTGCATATGGCAACTGAGGAGATGGGAGATGCTTGTGACTCCAGTGACACAGGTGGGCCCAGATGTTGTGGTTTGGATTTGTGTCCCCACCCAAATCTCAGGTCAAATTGTAATCCCTAGTGTTGGAGGAGGGGCCTGGAGAGAGCTGATGGGGTCACAGGGGTGGGCTTTCACCTTCCTGTTCTTATGATGGGGGGTTCTCATGAGGTCTGCTTGTCTCAGGAGGGGCCTGGAGGGAGGTGATAAGGTCACAGGGGTGGACTTTCACCTTGCTGTTCTCGTGATGGGGGGTTCTCAAGAGCTCTGGTTGTCTGAAAGTGTGTGGTGCGTCCCCCATGACTCTCTCCTGCGTGTAGGAGGTACCTTCTTTCCACTGTGATTGAAAGTTTCCTGAGGGCTCCCCAACCATGCTTCCTGTACAGCCTGCAGAACTGTGAGTCAATAAACCTCTTTTCTTTATAAGTTACCCTGCCTCAGGCAACTCTTTATAGCAACATGAGAGCTAATAATACACCAGGCTCTGGGGATGGGGAGGCTGGGAAGCACCTGGGGGAAGACACTTCCAAGGTAAACAGGGTCTTCAAGACTGAGATGCAAGGGTATTCCTGGCAGAGGAAGAGCCTGAGCTGTTGCACAGGGTGCACGGCCTGGGAGGGGCTGAGCAAGGCTGGAGGGCAGCCCACGGCACAGCTGGTCAGGGAGGTCCTGGTTGGCATTTTTCAGAACCTGGGTCTTGTGTATGAGGCTCCTTGACTCTGGACTCCATGATGCTGACCCCTGCTATGAGAGTGCTGGAAAGAGGCTGGCCCAGGCAGTCTTGGCCACCTTGAGGCCTTGTGTCATCTGCACAGCATCCGGCGACCTCAGACCCAGGGACAGCACCCGGCACACTTGCTGGAGGAGAAGATGCTGTGGTGGGTGGTAGCCCAGGAGTGCCTGCATGTGTGGTCGTCTGCATTTGTGTGCATGCCTGCATGTGGGCCAGCATCCATGAGCGAGCATGTCCCGTGAGTGCCTGCCTATGTGGTTGTCTGTGCATGTGTGTGCATGCCTGCACGTGGGCCTGCGTCTGTGAGCAAGCATGGCCCATGAGTGCCTGCATGTGTGGTTGTGCATGTGTGTGCATGTGTGCATGTGGGCCTGTGTCCGTGAGCGAGCATGGCCCGTGAGTGCCTGCATGTGTGATTGTCTATGTGTGCATGCCTGCATGTGGGCCTGTGTCCGTAAGCGAGCATGCTGTGTTCAACTCCACATGTGCTGGAAGTGCTACCTTGCTTGTCTGCACGTACATGTGCCTGTGTGTTCATTTCACGCATGTATGGCTGGGCATGTGTGTGTGTGTGTGTGTACATGGATGTGCATACATGTGTACGTGCCTGTGTTTGTGTATGCCTGGAACCCATGCACACCCAGGGTGTGTGGTGCTGCAGAACAGGCGTGGCCGAGCTCACAGCTGGGCAGCAGCATGGACACTCAGGCAGGACTCGTGTTTCCAGGCCAAGGCATGCTCCACACTTCTGGGTTAAATCAGCAGAATGAAGAGAAGAAAATCTAACAGGTGTAATTCCAGGCACATTCTGCTCTATTTCTATTCTGAGTGGGACTCAAGGGCCTCCTACAATCTCGAAGAGCAGATCTGAGCTGTACCAGACCTCAGCATACAAACAACGCAGCTGCTTCACCCCCCCATGGCTCTTCTCTCCTCACTTACAGACCTCAAACCACTGTCCCCATGTTGTCTCATTGGGCTTACCTGGATTGCTGTTTCAATTCTGTAAAGGAATTAAACGTCAGAGATAATGATACGGCATAAAGATTTGAAAAACATACTGTGCCTGGTGCTGTTTCAAAAATATATATGGTACCATTATCTGTAACACTGAATTGCTTTGCAGAACTAAGAATCTGTGTGCATGTCTGCACACAGATACATGCATGCTCACACAGGGGCCCACAGACATGCATGCATACTCACACATGTGCACACACATTCCCATGCATGCACAAATACATATGCATTCACATGTCCACACATTCACACAGCTCACGTGTCAACACATTCACACACTCTCATGTATGTCCACTCATGCACACACATTTACAGATTCACATACACACGTGTCCACACATGCACACATGTTCACATGTATCCACATACTCACACATCTCACACGTGCCCACATTCCCACACATGCACAATGCATGGTCACATGTCCACACATGCTCTCACACATGCACACACTCACACTTGTCCACATGCACACACACATGTGCCCACACATTCACACATGTCCACACACCCACGCATCTCATACACGTGCTCACACATTCCCACGCATGAATAAATGCATGGTCACACCTGTGTCCACATGTCCACACATGCTCTCACATGTCCACACATGCACACACACACATCCCCGCACGTGTCAACACTCACGTGCATGTCCACACATGTGCACACACGTGTCCACACATTCACACATGTTCACATGTGCCTACACACATGCACACATCTCGTCTCCACATACATGCATGCGCACTCACACACGTGTCCACACACAGGCAATTGTCCCTCTAGAAAACACAAAGGAATGACAAAAATAGTGTCCTCTAAAGAATTTGGCAGTACAAAGTTAAATTCCATCTGAAAATTATCTACAGAACCTGTTATCAAGGTAATTTTCCCCCGAATAGCTGGCTAACCTGCAAAAAGCTTTTCCCGTCCATCCATGCTACAGATACCTACATGTAGCCCACAGTACACCAGAGGCTCAGACCACAGGTGTTCATCTGCAGCCAGGCCTCGCCAGGCATCCCCTCGCTGCACGGCTCTGTGTGCCAGTGGACTCACCCTGCATCTTCTCCAGCTTGCTCATGTATGAGTTGAAGAGGGAATAGATACGCTCCGTCTCACGGTCCCCATCAATGTCCAGCTGGATGTTGGCTGGGAGGCCACTGTCCAGACAGTGAGAACAGAAAGATAAAAATATGTATTTAAACAATGCTTTTAATAATGACGGTAATTTTTAAAATGTCACTGAAGGAAGGCGACAACTGTGTTGGAAGTGAAACTCGAGACAGGACCTATTTGCCGTCCGTCTGTACACAGCAGCCAGTGCAAGTGTTGGCTTGGTGAGACGTCCACAGTGGCACTGACACCAGCGCTGACACCAGGCCGCAAGCTGGACCTAACTAGCAACCTCTGCTTCGAGTACGATCGACGTATTTGGAGACTTCGCAGAAGATCCTTGCTGTGCAGTGTTTAAAATGGGCTTATCATTTGTACTAACTGACCTTTCCTGAAATCAAGCATTACTGAGTTATGTCTGGTTTAAACCTATTCTTACTCCAGAATCTTATCAATACATAAGAAATTTAGGAAGATTAGGTGCCAAAATACCCAGTGTCATACTTGTACATTTGTAGTAACATGCAGAACTAAATTCCCAGTAACTATGAGCACTCCAGACCTTGTGGCTTTTCCCTTCAATCATTGCAAACACTCAGGGACGCTGTGTGGTTACTGCCCTGCTCACTTATGTTCACTTCTCCTACTTCTACACCAGCACACAGCAGGTTTCCTTAAGCACTGGTTTTTAAAATTTTTTACCAAGTCTTACCAAGATTTTTTTCTTTTTAATTTTTTTGAGAGAGAGCTTCACTCTCCCGGCCAGGATGGAGTGCAGTGGTGCGATCTCAGCTCACTGAAACCTCCACTTCCTGGTTTAAACGACTGTCCTGCTTCAGGCTCCTGAGTAGCTGGGATTAAAGGGGCCTGCCACCACACCTGGCTAATTTTTGTATTTTTAGTAGAGATGGGGTTTTGCCATGTTGGCCAGGCTGGTCTCAAACTCCTGATCTCAGGTTATCCACCCACCTCAGCCTCCCAAAGTGCTGGGATTACAGGCATGAGACATGGAGCCCGGTCTCTTTTCTTTTTATAAATCTTACTTTGTGCTACTACTGTGAAAAACCTCCAAAGTTGGGCATGGTGGCTCACACCTGTCTCTACTAAAAATACAAAAATTAGCTGAGCATGGTGGCACATGTCTGTAATCTCAGCCACTCGGGAGGCTGAGGCAGGAGGATCACTTGAACCTGGGAGGCAGAGGTTGCAGTGAGCTGAGATCGTGCCACTGCACTCCAGCCTGGGCAACAGAGGCTCCACCTCAAAAAGAAAAAAAGAAAAAAGGAAAAAGTCTCCATTTTGAAAATGTAGGCCTGGCACAGTGGCTCACGGCTATAATCTCAGTCCTTTGGGAGGCCAAGGCAAGATCACCTGAGGTCAGAAGTTCGAGACCACCCTGGTCAATATGGTAAAACCCTGTCTCTACTAAAAATACAAAAATTAACTGAGTGTGGTGGTGCATGCCTGTAATCCCAGCTACTTGGGAGGCTGAGGTGGGAGGATGGCTTGAGCCTGGGAGGTTGAGGCTACAGTGAGCTGAGATTGAACCACTGCACTCTAGCCTGGACGACAGAATGAGACCCAGTCTCAAAAGCATGCAACTAAAAAAACTTCCCCGAGCTGGGGGAGCTGAGGCTGCCTGTGGGTGGTGTGGGATGTGGAAAAGACCCTGAGCTGAGAGAGCGGAGGCCAGCTGTGGGTGGTGTGCGATGTGGGAGGCTCTCGAGCTGTCCTGTGTTCTCGTAGGGAGAAATGGCCTGGAATGAAACCCTTCTGGGGGTGCATCCCCTGCAGGGTCGGCTGCCGGGTGGGGACATGCCAGGTTTCCTTTCCTCCTGAGACTGCAATGGTCCTGCTCCGGCCCGGGGTGTGAGGATAGAGGAGGGTGCTGGCCTTTCCAGGGTGGGGGGTGGGGGTCCTGGGGTGTTGGGCACACATGCCTGGGTGGCAGCCAGGCCCTCCTCCTGAGCTTCAGCCTCCGAGTCCATGAAGCAGGATCTAAGGTCTCCTCCCGAGGCTGTGGGAGGATTAAATGGTGACCCAGTGTGGAGCACAATTCATCCCTGCAGGGCCCTTGTGCATAATGCCCTGCAGAGGGATCACGTGGCCACAGCCACAATGTTGTCCCCACGGCAATGTGCATCTCATGGAGCAGAACTGGGAGACTGCTGGGCTCACGGGCCTCCTTCCTTGGACCGGCACAGGTGACCCAAGCCTGTGTGGAACTGGAGGCCCAGCTGACGAGGGGCTGGAAAGACCACAGGCTGCCTGCGTCCCATGGATAAATCAAGGTAGGTGTCCTGGGCTGGATGAAGCTTTCAGGGAGAGGTTTGCTCCCAAGCTCCTCCTAGAGAAGCAGAAGGCCTCGGCCCTGGGGAGCCCCCTTCACCCTGACCTCCCACTCCCCTGGGGCAGGGCCTCAGGAGGACCCTGGAAGGCCTGAGGCTCCCTAGAGCCTTCAAGAGGCTGGGCCCCAGATGCTCCCTTGGGTGGGAGGCCCCTCAGGTGGGAGGCTCTGGGGACAAGGCGAGCACAGTCCCGTTTCCGCCCAGCTTACAGGCAGTCATGCGCTGTCCGTGGCCCCTCCCTACACTACCCCTGACCACACGTCCTGCACATGCCAGGCGCCGAGGCACGGACTCCACGGGACCCTCCTGACCCGGCCCCCGGCCCCTGACTACACTTCCCGCATGCACACGTGCCGGGTGCCAAGCCACGGACCCCTGTGGGACCCTCCCTACCCGGCCGCCGGGCACACTTCCCACACACACACATGCTGGGCGCTGAGGCACGGACCCTGCAGGCCCCTCCCTACCCAGCCCTTGCCACACTTCCTGCACGCGCACACGCCGGGCACCAAGGCACGGACCTACCTGGTGCAGGGCGAGCATCCAGGGGCCGAGTCTGAGGACGCCCTGCAGCACAGCCAGTGGCCGCCCAGGTAGGCAGACGGGTGGTAGACGGTGAGGCGCTTCTGGTTGCACTGGCTCACTTTGGTGAGAATGTCGATCCAGTCCTTGGCCTCCACGCAGTTGTTGGCCTGGATGTAGAGTGCGCGCTCCGGCTGGATGACCTGAAACATCTGAGGATGCAGGTGGGCTCAGGATGGCGCACGTGAGGTCCTGTGGCCGAGTGCATGCCAGGGTCTGGCAGGCACCTGGCTGTCCTCGCTGGAGCCTCAAGAGGAGACACTGAGGGTGCACAGGCCCAGGAGTCCTGGAGCTCTAAACACTAGGAGCAGCCAAGGTCAGGGGTGCAGAGCTCTCTGCCACCCTGAAACCTGATAACCAGTGCTGTGGCGAACGGAGGTGAGAATGGATGTGGCTAGACATGGCTGGGCGGCCAGGTATAGCTTGGCCAAGGCCCTTTATGTGCCAGGGCCTCAGAGGTCTCCGTTCAAAGGCAGAAATGAGGCCCTGTGGTCTCCCCATGAGGCTCCTGTAGCCAAAGACAGGAGTCCCATCCATGCAGGGTTTCTGCTCTATCAGCCGGGGTGGCCTGGCCTGCTCAGCTCCTCCCCCACCTTACCAGCCCAGGGCGCTTCCTCCTTCCTCCCTTCCTCCCTTCTTCCCAGCCAGGGTTGGGGGCTGCTCAGGGCAGCAAGAACCTTCGCCGTTTATCACTCAGTCAACAAACATGGCTGAGCACCAGCAGTCTCCCAGGTCCTGGAGACAAAGCCTGGCCTAGGATTTCTGCTGAACCTGCAGCTACCAAGAAAGACTAAGTAAGCGCAGGTGGCGGCTGGGGAGGACGCATGGCAGGTGCCAGCAGGGGCTGGAAGTGAGCAGTCCTGGTGCTGTGGACAGAAGGCTGACTGAAAGTTAGCTCGGCAGGGAACTGACACGGTAGAAGAAATGGGAGGCACAAAGGTCCTGGGGCAGGAGGTGGAGGGTCCCAGGGCAGGGTGGACAGGGGTCCTGTGATTGGAGGGACGGGGTCCAGGGGCAGGGGGGACAGAAGTCTAGGATTGGAGGGATGGGGATCCCGGGGCAGGGAGGATAGGGGTTCTAGGATTGGAGGTCAGAAGTTCCCAGAAGGAGCTGGCTCTGGGGCACACGAAGACAGGTTTTCTGAGTAGAAGGCCACCTGGAGGCTGGGAGGCTTTCATAAGGACTTGCCCTTAAGTCAGGAATCAGGGGAACAGTGGCCTTCTCCCGCAGATAGGCACTTCCTTCCACTGATCTGGGGAGGATTTAGGCTCCAGGTTTCTGGAGAACAGCTGGGGTCTTATTTACAGAGGCCAGGAGCCACCTGTGTGCAGGTCTCCCTGCGTGCCCCTGAGCATGGCTGTGATCCCCCATGGCGGGCGTCCTGCCATCGTCCCAGGCTCGGCCCTGCCACCAGGAACAACCTCCAGAAAGGTCTCCCCAGCTGCCGAGAGCCTGGCCCGGCAGCAGCCCCAGGGGAAGCGGGCCCTGAGGAAGTCAGCAGGACATGAACAGCAGAAACTATGGAACTATTGGAAACCTATGGAAAGGGTTTGAAGTGATTCCAGGACATTCCCACACTGCTTCCTTCCAGGGACGGTCTCAGGGCAGGTCCCAGCCTTCTCTCAGTCAGCAGGCACTGAGCCCACAACTCTATGGGTGCTGAGACTGGGTCCCAGTGTCCCCTTCAGTCAGCAGGCGTTGAGCCCACGCCCTCCTCTTCAAATACTCTATGAAGTTATGCTTATTGTGGACCTGTCTGGACCGCCTGTGAATAACAACCTAGTGAAATTCCGCCAACAGTAAGGAACGTGTGTCGACTTTGGCACAGGGCCCAGGGACTGCACCTTCCCCACAGCTGCTCTATGACCCTCATTCTGCAGTCAGAAGGCCTGTCCCAGCCAGACTGTGGCAGGGCACAGGGTCAGCCTCAGGATGGCAAGGAGGGCTGGGTCGCTGACTGTAGGAGCACCAAGTCACTAGGGAGAAGGCAGCCAGAGGCCAACCCACCCTGGGAGGCCACCAGACGATGGCAATGCCACAGACACCTCTAGGGGATTCCTGCCAAAAATGCATCATCAAGACCTCCCACTTTGGCACATCCGACAAACCCACAGTGAGGGACGTCCACAAAACTGCAGGGCTGCACATCTCAAAAATGCCAAGGCCACCAGGCACAAAGAAAGGCTGGGAGCATCCAGTCAGCCAGACTGAGGGGACAGCAGAGCAGATCATGGACTGGATCTTGAGGGGAACAAACCATAGCTGGGGGTGTGCAGTTGGTGGCAAATTCAAACATGGCTGCACTGGCCCCACACGGCGGGTGGCTGCTGTAGTTTTGGGGACTGTACTGCAGGAAACACACTCAGAAGCATTGAAGCTGTTCAAAAAAGCACAGGCATGACATGTGGAGAGAGAAGGAACGAATACGATGGTGAACAAGGCCACGTGTGGGTCTGAGTGTGACAAGTGGAGACAGAAGGAATGAACACAATGGGGAACGAGGCCACGCGTGGGTCTGTGTGTTACACGTGGAGAGGGAAGTAATGAATA